AACTGGAGAGTAATTAGTTCCCAGGTCTACGTTTTCTGTCGTAGTAAATACACTAGTGCTGCAATAGCTCTGCGATCTTAATTAAGTTTGGTCTAATAGGCCCCTTTGAAGCGGCCAATGGAAATCAGTTGTAATCCACTTCTACCGCCATAACATTGGCTCTCATGAGGGTCCCTAGCGTCTCTAGAGAATACATGGTATAACAGAGAGAAAGAGAGAGAGACATCGGTGGGTTACAGGACCATATCGTTTGTGAGAAGGCTGCGTATTCATGGTGTGAAATTATGTACAGTATGATTGAAAAGTGACGCAACCCATTCCTAATACATGTTCTGTTTGTAAATAAAAAAAATTACATTGAAACCAGAAAGCAAACATCAGTATTATAATAATTGCTAGAAATTTCCTTCGTGTTCAGCGTAGTATGCGTTCATTTTTTTCCTCATATGTGATACGACGTAACGTTTTTCTGTACTGCGTGCTTCCTGTGTCATGGAAATGGATCACCAGACGAGAGATAATGTAGATTTGTTTAGCATGGGAATCGGGGAATGTATCCCTACACACATTTTGGAAAGTTAAGTAAGAACCAGATGTCAGGAAGTGTTCGACAATGAACACTCGTTGTGTTTTTGAAAAGGACATCGTTGCATTCCAAGCGAGCAGGTTACAACATGACGTGGCCTGCTTTGGATCTCGTATAGTCACAGATATCGTGTGTTTATTAATCCGATCAAATTGCATTGAATTCCAACCATCATTAAATATATTAATATCGTTCACGTGACTTTTCCATCATAATTCCTAACACCACGCGGTTTACTGTACATGTTTTGAGTTTCTTTTTATCGGTGTGGGGCGAGGGTAACCAGTGGATCAGTGGCAAAAAATCATTTGGCACAATTTGAAACGGTAGTTGAGAAACGTAACCCTGGAATCGAAGCAGGGAATGAAGTAAACTGAAGACTGTAAGGAGCAGCGTATTGACCGCCCCGCCCACGTCGTCAGCTGGTGCATCATGCGCCTCTGAGTCACGAAGGACATGCTCAGTGGGAAGACAGATCACTCATGGCACGTGTCACCTCTATTTGCCATTGTATCAAAAGGCAGTCACATCAGACTACAATAAGATGAAGGGGTTTGACTGCAACACGCGTGAATAAAATTGTCACAAGACAGATACTCACTGTATTTGAATTATACGTATATCCACAAACGTCGTCTATCTGGCGGTAGGCACAGTTTGTACTCTGTATGAAATGCAATTAACAACAACGTAGATTCTTCTCTCTTATACATAAGAATTTGTCTGCAAAATGTCGGGTTCTTGCGGTCGACAGTTCTTCTATAGACCTTAAGCATGGTAGTGACATGCTGGACTCTTCTTGGGCATTTAAATTGCTGTAAACGAAAGGCCGTAAGAGAAAAAGCTCAGTACGTTTTTGGCTCCTGCTGCTGCTATTGTCATACTACGTCCACGATTTATAACCTTTATTCGTAATTCTATTCTGTCTTACCACGACTTCTGATAACGCCACTGGATTAATTCTCCCTTTTACGTTGTATTTTGTAATGCATTTTCCAGTGTTTGTAAATCAACAGCATCAGTACAATTTATTAACTTAAACTCCCTTGTAAGATAAATATTCATTTTCGCCTTTAGTAAGCAGAGCAATCTG